GCCGTGGCCACTTGAATCGAACATACTCACAATGGTTTCGCACATGGGATGGCCTTGCGAAACCATCCTCCCCTTCCTCACCAGCCAAGAACAGGAACAACCGCGCGCACGTGTGGCCCCAGTACGAGAAGGATGAGGAGGAGAAGGAGGAGGAGGGGGAGGAGGAGGGGAGGAGGAGGATGAGGACCAGAGTAAACCCTAGACGCATCAAAGATATTGCAGTAAGCACTCCCTCCAATTTCCTTCTTCACAGGTCCCTGCTGTAATCTGGTATCTTGCACCTTGAGTCTAGAGTTCCGACCACTTTATTTTCGCGTGTCACCGCCCTCATCCCAGCGTTTGTCAGCAGCCCAGCGCCCCCCTGTCTGTCCATCCCGACCACTTCATGCTCGCGTCGCCCCGCCCCCCTCCCCGCCCCGCCCCCTCCACCCCAGCATTCCCCAGCAGCCCAGCGCTCCCCTGCAGCCCAGTGCCCCGCCCCACTCCCCCCCTGCCACACCCCTCCGCCCCGACCACTCTGTTTTCGCGCCGGACCTCCCCCCACCTCCGCCCAGCGTTCCCGAGCAGCGCAGTCTTCCCTCGCCCCAAAGCCCCCTTCCGCCCCGGCCCTCTACGGCCCGACCGGCCCCGCCCCATTCCCCCCCGCGTTCCCCAGCAGCCCAACGTTCCCCAGCAACTCAATGCTATCATCGCCCCGCCCCCCCTCTCCGCCCAGCGCCCCTCCGCCCAGACCCCGCCCGTCCCGACCATTTTATTTTCGCGTCGCGCCGCCCCCCACCCACCTCCTCCCGGCGTTCCCAAGCAACCCAACGCCATCTTCTCCCCGGCCCCCTCCGCCACTCGCAACCCAAGGCCATCTTGCACTCTGTGCCTGGAAATCCGACCACTTTATTTCCGCGCCGCGCACCTCCACCCCGCCCCGTCCCCCCAGCGTCCCTCACCGACCCCCCCCTTCCCAGCGTCCCCCAGAAGTCCCTCCGCCTCAGCAGCCCTACGCCCCCCAACAACACAATACCCTCTGCCCCGCCTGCCCCGACCGCCTTATTTCCGTGCCGCCCCCCCAGCCCCAGCAACGAAGAGCTCCCAAGCCGCCCAACCGCCCAAAGTCTTCTGCGACCACTAACGCCTCCGCCCAGACCGCCACATTTCCGCGCCGCACACCTCCCCTCCACCCCCTCCCCCCGCCGTCCTCAACTGACCCCCCAATTCCGTTCCTCCCCCAGCGTTCCCCAACTACCCAATGCCCTCTTCGCCCAATGCCCCCCCTGCCCCGACCATGTAATTCCCCTCATGCTTCGTGGCTTTTGTGTTCTTCCCACCCGCGTCGCACCCGCGTCACACACACACGCGCACGCACACGTACACGCATACCTACACCTACACGCACACGCACACGCACACGCACACGCACACGCACACACACATGCACGCACGCACGCACGCACGCACGCACGCACGCACACACACACACACACGCACAGACACACGCACACACGCACACACGCACACACACAGACACACACAACACACACAACAATACACACACAACACACACAACAACACACACAACACACACAGCACAACCAACACACACACGCACACACGCACACGCGCACACACACACACACGCTCGTACACACAATCACACACAAACACACACGTGCACACACACACGCACACTCATATACACACGTACGCACATATACACATGCATATACGCACACACATACAAAACATGACACGCACATACACTCAGGCACACATAGACACACATGCACAAACACATAGACAGACACACACACATGGACACACACACAGACACACCCACAGGGCACACACAGACACACCCACACACACACACGGATACACACAGACAGACACACACACACAGACACACAGACAGGCACACACACAAGAGACACACACACAGACACACACACACACAGACACACAGACAGACAGACACACCGACACACAGGCACATCGACACACACACACACACTCACCCCTTACCGTCCTCTTACTCGCTCGACGTCCTTTAGATGCACACGCCATAGCCATCTCAACGTCATACAGTATCGCGCACCACCTGACAGACAAACTCAACTGCACACGCACACGCGCACACACATACACACTGCACGCAGGTAAGAGATGGATGACACCTGGCGCATTCAGCACATCAGACACACACACACACACCTATCCACAGCAACGCACAAACACAAACGCACACACACACCATACGGCGCGGTCTCTATTCGTCTCAGGGTCGAGGGCATAGCAGGCGAGGGATATTCTCGACACCATAGGGGGTGCGCACGGGGTGGTCTCGGAGCGCGACCGCTATCCGTGACCGTCCACAGCATAGCAAGCGTGCATATTCTCGACGTCGTAGGGGGTGCGCACGGGGTGTGGTCGCTGAGCGCGGTCGCTATCCGTGGCGATCGCCCAAGGCATAGCAGGCGTGGCATATTGTCGACGCCGTAATGGGGTGCGCAAAGGGTGGTCGCTGAGCGCGGCCGCTGTCCGTGGCGGTCGCCCAAGGCATAGCAAGCGTGGCATATTCTCGACACCGTGAAACGGGCGCGCAAGGGGTGGTCCCGGAGCGCGGCCGCTATCCGTGACGTTCGTCCAAACCATAGCAGGCGCGGCACATGTTCGACACCATAGACGGGGGCATAGACGGGGTGCACACTGGGTGGTCTGTGAGGGCGGCCGCTGTCCGTGACGGGCGTCCAGTGCATCGCTGGCGTGGCAGATCCTCGACGCCACAAAGGGGGGTGCGCACGGGGTGTGGTCGCTGAGCGCGGTCGCTATCCGTGGCGATCGCCCAAGGCATAGCAGGCGTGGCATATTCTCGACGCCGTAATGGGGTGCGCAAAGGGTGGTCGCTGAACGCGGCCGCTGTCCGTGACGGTTGTCCAGGGCATAGCAGGCGTGGCATATTTTCGACACAAAAAAAGGGTGCGCACGGGGTGGCCTTTGAGCGCGGTCGCTATCCGTGACGGTCGCCCAAGGTATAGCAGGCAAGCGTGGCATGTTCTCGACGCCGCAGGGGGTGCGCAAAGGGTGGTCTCTGAGGGCGGCCGCTATCCGCGACGGGCGTCCAGGGTATAGCAGGCGTTACATATCCCACCAGCCCTTTGGGCGTGAGTGGTTTAGAGAGCTCTCTCTGTCCTCAACCCACCTTCTTCCCCTTCGGGGAGGGGTTTACCCCTCCACCTCCCCCCCCCCCTGGACCTGGACAGGGATTCCCGAGCGTAGTCGGGGGGGTCTTTTTCGACTCCTGGGAGGGCCAAAAAGCGACGACCCTCACGAGGATTCTGGCCCCGAGGGGGGGGGGGAGTTTGGCCCCTCTGCTCGTCTTTGAAGCAGAAATCATTGATTTTACGATGGTTTTGGCCCCATTTCGGCCTTCTGAGGGGGCCGCGCTCATCTTCCCTCATAGCAAAATCAGGGTTTTGGGCTCATTTTGTTCTTCTCAGGGGGGCAGCTCTCCTTTGCGCTTTGCGGAGGTCGCAAGAGGCCCCAAGATGGCCCCAAGAGGCTCCCAGGAGGCTCCCAAGAGGCCTCCAAGAGGCTCCCCAGAGGCCCCCAAGCGGCCCCAAGAGGCACCCAAGAGGCACCCAAGAGGCCCCCAAAAGGCCCCACGAGGCCCCAAGAGACACCCAAAAGGGCCCCCAAGAGGCCCCCAAGAGGCCCCCAAGAGGCCCCCAAGAGGCCCCCAATAGGCCCCCAATAGGCCCCCAAGAGGCCCCACGAGGCTCCAAGAGGCCCCCAAGAGGCCCCACGGGGAGCCCGAACGACTCACATCAGGACGAGGGGCCCGAACGACTCACACCACGAAGAGCCCGAACGACCCACACCACAAGGAGGGGCCCGAACGACTCACACCAGGACGAGGCGCCCGAACGACTCACACCACGAGGAGCCCGAAGGACTCACACCACGACGCGGGCCCCGAACGACTCACACCACGAGGAGCCCGAACGAGTCACACCAGGAGGAGGGGCCCGAACGACTCACACCAGGATGAGGGGCCCGAACAACTCACACCACGAGAAGCCCGAACGACTCACACCAGGACGAAGAGCCCGAACGACTCACACCACGAAGAGCCCGAACGACTCACACCAGGAAGAAGGGCCCGAACGACTCACACCAGGACGAGAAACCCCAAACGACTCAAATCACGAGGAGCGCTTTCTCTCCCTCCTCCTCCGCCTCGTCCTTCTCCCGCTCCCCTCACAAGGAGGATGTACAAGGAGGCGGGAGGAAGGAGGAACAGGGGAGATATGCGGGGCCAAGCGGACACACGCCTGAAAAACACGACTGTCGGCATGCTTCGCGAGAGTTGCTGCTGTGAGATGGGCTGGTGGGGATACGCGAAGCGTAAATAATTCTCGACACCATAGAAAAAGGTGCGCAAGGGGTGGTCTACGAGGGCGGCCACTATGCGTGCGGACTTAGGTGTTAGAGCTGACGTTGGCAACATGCATCATATTCTATTCAATGTGCGGTTCCTCGGCATTCTCTTGCAGGCTGTGACTGGGGCGCCAGCCATTCGATTCCCGCGCCGCACACCTCCACCCTGCCCCTTCCCCCCAGAGTCCCTCACCGACCTCCCCTCGGAACGTTCCCCGGCAACCCAGAGCCCCCCCCCCTCGCCCCGACCACTCGGGTTCCGCGCCGCACACCTCCCCCCAGCGTCCCCCGCCGACCACCCTTCCCTTAGCATTCCCCTGCAACCCGGCGGCATCTTCGACCCGACCCCGCCCCGCCCCGACCGCCACACGCTCGCGCTGCGCCCCCCCCGCCCCAGCAGCCCAACATCCCCCAGCAGCCTGGTGCCTGCTCCGCTCACTGACTCCTCCGCCCCGATCAGTTTAGTTTCACGCCGCGCACCTTTCCCCCCCGCCCCCTCCCCCGAAACGCCCCCCGCCTTTCCTCCAGCGTTCCCCAGCAACTCCATGCCCTCCCCGCTCAGTGCCCCCCTCCGCCACGACCATTACTTTCGCGCCGCACACCTCCCCTCGCCCCCTCCCCCAAGCATTCCCTATCCCCCCCCGCCCGTCGCCCCCTCCCCCAGCGTTCCCCAAAAGCCCAATGCCCTCTCCGCTCACAGCACCCCCCGCCACGAAAACGTTATTTTCGCGCCGTGCTGCGCTTTCCCGCCCCCTTTCCCCACGATTCCCCTGAAACGCAATGTTCCCCAGCAGCCCCCTCCGCCCCGCCCATTCTATTTCTGCGCCGCACACCCCCGCTTCCGCTCTTCAGCAGCTCCTTGCCATATCTGCCCAGAGCCCTATCCGCCACGAACCCCTCCCCGCCTCCCTCGGCCTTCCCTGGCAGCCCAGCGCCCTCTCCGCCCGCTGCCCCCTCCGACCCGACTACTTCATGCCAGCGCCGCACACCTCACCCCCGACCCTTTCCCCCAGCGTTCCCCACCGCCCCCCCCCTCGCCCGCCCCGACTTCCTCCCTGGCCCGGCGTTCCCCACCCCAGCAGCCAAGTGACCTCTCAGCAAATTGGACCCTCCTCCGCCCCGACCACTTTCTCTGATTGCACCATGTGTCTAGATCTCCAAACACTTTATTTTTGCGCCGCGCTGCGCCGCCCCCCCCCGCACCCCCAGCTATCCCCAGCATCCCAGCGTTCACCATCAGCCCATCGCCCTCTCCGCCCAGTGGCCAGTGACCCCCCCCGACCCCCAGCGTTTCCCATCACCCCAGTGCCCTCCCCGCCCAATGCCCCTTCCGCCTTCCGCCTCGACCATCATATTCTCGCGCAGCACGGGCCCGCCTCCCCGCCCAGTCCCCCAGCGTTCCCCAGCAGCCCAGCGCCCTCTCCGATCGGTGCGCACATCCCCCCCGACACCCCAGCGTTCCCCAGCACCCTAATGCCATCTCCGCCCAGTGCCACCAAGACCATGTTATTTTCGAGCCGCGTCGACCCCCGCCTCCTCCTCCCAGCGTTCCCCAGCAGCCCAGCGATCCCCAGCAGCCGAGGTGTTCCCCAGCAGCCCAGCGTCCTCTCAGCCCAATGCCCCCTCCGTCCCGACCCCCAGCGTTCCGCGGCAGCCCACTCGCATCTCCTCCCAGTGCCCCCTCCACCCCGACCATCAGATTCTCGCGCAGCACGGGCCCGCCTCCCCGCGCAGTCCCCCAGCGTTCCCCAGCAGCCCCAGCAACCGAGTGCCCTCTCCGCCCAGTGCCCCTTTCCGCCCCGTCCCTCCTCCGTTCCCGGCAACCCAACGCCCTCCCCGCTCAATGCCCCCTTCCGCCTGGACAGTGTATCTTCGCGCAGCGCTCCCCCTCTCGTTCCCCAGCAGCTAAACGTTCCCCGGCAGCCCAACGTTCGCCAGCAGCCCAACGTGTTCCCCAGCAACCCAGTGCGGCGCCAAAACGAGAACAACATTTTGAACAATGAGCCGCCCTCGTGGTATACTTTTGAAACAGATGTGCGCGATGCCTAGGTGAGTCACATATTGAAAACGACGATTCGAACTCCAGCAACAAAACTTTTGCATTTGACACGAATGTGCGCGGCACTTCGGCGAGATCCACATTTTGAAAAGGAACCACCCTCCATCAGACAAAAACGCTTGCATCATTTTAAAACGAATGCGCGCGGCGCTAAGGCGAGAACCACATTATGAAAACGCCCCGCCCTTTCTCCGTGAACCTCTTGCAAGCTTTTCCGACAAATCTGCACGGCGCTAAGCTGATAGCTTATTTTTGAAAGCTACCCACCCTGCATCTGTGAAACTCTTGCAAAACTGTACGATGAATGTGCTGCGCACTCAAACAAACACCGCATGTTGAAAACGGCCCGCACTCCATCTGTGAAGCTCTTGTAGACTTCAGGCTACAATATCACAAAAAGGTGATGAGGGCTCAAGCGAAAAGCCCAGCCCGCCGTAGGCGGGGCCTTTCCCGACCTGCGCGGGGGGGGCGGAGCCCTCAGTTCGTGTTGTCCGCGTTTTGGCACCCCACGCCATGTCGCATCAACTCGCCGATACATAGATCTCGAACACTCGATTCGGAGGAGGGAGGAAAAGGAGGGAGGAGGCGCGGGAGGAGGATGGATGTGGAGGAGAAGGAGAAGGAGGAGGAGGAGAAGGAGATGCAGGAGGAGAAAGAGATGGAGGACGAGGAGGAGGAGGACGAGGAGGAGGAGGAGGAGGAGGAGGAGAGGAGGAGGAGGAGGAGGAGGAGGAGGAGGAGGACCTCGGCGGTGCCTTCCTGGGGAGCCCGAGGCGCGCGGCGACCCCGGCGGTGACCGCGGCGAGGGAAGGGACCAGGACGCCGGCACTGGGCGAGCCTGCGGACGCTGCGGAAGGGGGGGGGAGGCCCTCCTCTTCGTCCCCATTCGTCCTCCTCCCCCTTCTCCTCCTCCTGCTGCTCCTCCTCCTCCTCCTCCAACTTGTCTCCCTCCTCCTCCTCCTCCTCTGCACCCTCCTTCTCGTCCCCCTCCTCCTCCTCCCTCCTCTCTTTCCTCCTCCTCCTCCTCCTCCTCCTCCTCCTCCTCCTCCTCCCTTTCCTCCTCCTCCTCCTCCCTTTCCTTCTCCTCCTCCCTTTCCTCCTCCTCCTCTCTCCTCCTCCTCCTCCTCTCCTCCTCACCCTCTTCTCCTCCTCCTCCTCCTCCTCCTCCTCCTCGTCCTCCTCCTCCTCCTCCTCCTCCTCCTCGTCCCCCTCCTTCTCCTCCTCCTTCTCCTTTCCTACGAATGAAGAAGAAACCAGGAATCCAGGATGAGGACAAGTTCGGATGAGGATAAGAAGGGACTCTGCAAGATAAGTCAACTGAGATCCGGCGGCTCTGGAGGATGTATAGAGCGTTCCGGAACTCCTCTGAGAGCGTCCCGGAACGATCTGGAACAGATTTATGATTTATCCTCGTCCTGGCCCCGTCTGGTAACGGCATCCTCGGATAACCGATGCACCGACGGCGTCGGCGATGCATCGGCCACGTCGGCGCGGAGCAAATCGGGCTCCGCATCCAGCCGCATCGCCTATGCATCGGCGACACGGCGCGATCTTCCGACCCCATCTGGGAGGCCTAAGGACTTCCGGAGCCACTTCTGCGCAGGGGCCTGCTCGTCCCTGTGCTCGAGCTGGCCGCGGTGCAGTCGAACCTGGGACAGAAACACATCCTTCAAGAACAGGAAGCCCTCCGCCGGCCACGACACAAAGAACGTCCAAGGGCATCCTCCCCAGAATGCACCAGAACATCCAACAAGCACGAAGACCATTAGGGCACCCTCCCCGAAACAACCTCGATCTTTACACCTCGGTCCGACTGTGCCATGGCCGACTCAGTGGCGGAGGCCCTTCTCAGTGCTGTCGTGCGGGCAGGCGGCTCGCGGCGAGTGGCGGCCACCGGGGTCGCCCCGTGGCGGGCCGCTCGCGCCGCTTCCGTCGGCGCTTCTGGGGTGGAGGGCAAAATGGATGTCCTAGAAACTGGATGCCCGAACTGGGTGTGGAAAGAGGGGGAAGATGCCCAACAACACATACCCGTGGTCCAAAACTGACAGCGGCCGCTGATGCGCAGGCGACTTTCTGTCTCGAAGGGACAACGTCCGCGGCAACGTCGACGCCGACTGCGGTTCAAAATGGACAGGCACTGCTATACCGGTCTTTGCACCCATTCTTCCCGTGCCCACTTCGATCGAACCGATGGGAAGCATCTGGGCTGGGCTCGACACGATCAGACCTGTCACCTCGGCTCAAACCATCCGCAACGCACAACGGTGTGCCGCCACCCGTGGCAGGGGTCAAAGCCACACGGAACGTCACGAGGAACGCGCTCCTTAAAGAGCGGGCCGATGCCGTGTCGTTTTTTGTTTGCCTTGCCGTCCACGAGAGCTCCACCTTCGAAGTGGGCACGAGCGTGAACGCGGCACTGCAACGGCCATGTTCCCATGCCACTGCAGGCCTCCTGGAAGCGGTGCTGCAAATTAGTCGAGAAGCGACTTGAGCAACAGTCAACCAGTATAGTAAGGATGCGCGACAAGGATGCGAGGGCCCTGGACGCCCATTTCCAAGCTTGTCGAGCGGGGCGCGGCCAGCGAAAACGACCAAGGATGGGCCGAGAGGGCCAGGATGCAAGGGCACCCTGGGGGAAGTTTGCCCGTCCCTACTATGCGGGTGAGCTGTACTCGGGCGGCAGGTGACGATGCACCGCGGGCGGGCCGCGAGGCGGAGCTGCGACGGCGCGGCCGTCGCAGCCTCGTCCGCGGCACGGCGCGCGGGGCGCCCTGCTCCGGCCCTTGCCGAGGCCGTCGGCTCGGAGCCGAGCCGGGGACGGGGGCGGTGGAGGCTCGGAAAGCGAGCAGCGGGCCGTCCAGCCAGCAGCAGCCCCAAGCACCGAGGGCGGAAGGTTCGGGTTCGAGGTTTTCGGGCTTTCTCGTCTGCTCTCGGTGGTTTTCCAGCCTCGGGACGCTTGCCAGCAGCTGCGCCTCGCCGAGGGCGTTCCGGTTGTGCCTGGATCGTCTCGGACGGCCGCTGGAGACCCGAGTTCTGACCCCAAAACCAGATTTGTCGGCGGTGCGCCCGGGGGAAGTGCCACCGGTCTCGTCTGCCAGACACTGGGGGGCTCGTCAAGGTGGCATGTGTCCTGGAATAGTTCGGACCAAGGGCTCGCCGAGGGATCTGTGGCCTCAGCCTCCAACGGATGGTTGTGGCATTGGTCGCCAATGGACGTGGCATGCACTCCAGAAGCAGATCAGAACCACAACTGGATCCTGAGGACTGCGTTCGCAAGGTCGCTGAAGATGATGCCGGGCCTGATGTGCAGAGAGTGCGTGTTGCACACGTGGCGCACGAGGCACAACAAGGCCTTCTATGCATGCCCGCTCAGGTGGTCAACGCGGTCGGCGGCTTCTGCGCGAGCGTGGACGACGGCAAGGGCCATGCAATTGTGCGACGATTTCGACATGAGCCTAGAGGTCGGCACCGTGAGCGTGGCTGGCAAAGAGGTGGAGCAGCGCGTCGTGGCGCTGGTGGAAAAACGCGGCAACGCCGTGCACATGCACGAGGATGGCGGCTCAAACACGCTAGAAGTCCTCAACAGATGCGCGACGGACAAGCAGGCCTTCGTGGTGATCGGGCAGCAGCGGGCGGTGGCCAGCGCGGCCAGGGACGAGGCCGTCCTTGCCGCTGCTATCGCGGGTGCGGGGCTCGAGGACAGAGCCTGAGGTTGGAGCCTCCGTCGAGTTTTGCGCGGGTTGGTCATCATGTGGCGTCAGTGGTCGTGAGTCGTGGGCGCTGCCCTGGGGCCCGCTGCGCATCAAGTCCACACAGCACTCCTCCCTCCTCCTCCTCCTCCTCCTCCTCCTCCTCCTCCTCCTCCTCCTCTTCTCCCCTCCTTTCTCCACCTCCCTCCTCCTCCTCCTCCTCCCTCCTGTTCCCCCTCATCTCTCCTACTCTCTGCAAGGGAGCACTCTGAACACTACTCTCCCTCTGCCTTGAAGCTTTCCCGCCCCGTCCGCGTGCGGCTATGTTTGCGCTCGCACTATCTCAAACTTTGCGGTCTCGTATGGTCTTGTGCAGCACGCGTGTTTTGAGGATGAGGAGGAGGAGGAGGAGGAGGAGGAGGAGGAGGAGGAGGAGGAGGAGAAGGAAAAGGAGGAGGAGGAGGAGGAGGAGGAGGAGGAGGCGTTCTCGGATCGGTGCGCTTCCCCCATCGCTCCAGCATGGCGTTCTCGCCCCAGCGCGGGCAATTCTTTTTCTGGATCCGAGTCCTGCTTCCTTGTGGCCTCCCCGATCGGTTCCCTTCTCCGCCTCCCCCCCCCTGGTCCTCCCGTTCCTCCCGCTCCTTCCGCTCCAGTTTCTTTCTGGATCCGAGTCCTGCTTCCTGGTGGTCTCCCCCATCGGTTCCCCTCCTCCGCCTCCCCCCCGTGGTGCTCCTGTTCCTCCCGCTCCTTCCGCTCCAGCTTGTTTCTGGATCCGAGTCCTGCCTCCTGGTGGTCTCCCCATCGGTTCCCCTCCTCCGCCTCCCCCCCGGTCCTCCTGTTCCTCCCGCTCCTGCCGCTCCAGTTCCTGCTGCTGCTGGCTCGTCTCGCCCCGGCGCGGGCCACTTTTCGGAATGCGAATGTTTCTTCATCGATGTCGCCCCCCTCATCCCCCCTCCGACTTTTCCTGGTCCCCCTTTCCCTCCCGATCCCTCTGCTTTCGTTCCCGCTGCAGCTGTTCGTCCTCATCATTCTCCTCCCGCTCGTCCTCCTGCTCACCACCACCACCTCCTCCTTTGCACGCAGCTCTCCTTTTTTCCGATTGCGCATGACATGAAGTGATCTTCCTGTGCGAATCGCAGGTCGGCTGTGACTCGCGTTCACGGATCAAGAAAACTCAGTGCCATGGGAATCTATGGGGGGAGGGGCCGGATGTCATACGAAGCGCGAGCGCACGCAGCTTGCCTCCGCCCTCTCTCCCTCCTCCCCCCCTCGTCCCGTCTCGTCCCTCCTCCCCCCTCCTCGTCCCTCCTCCTCTCCCTCCTCCTCCTCCTCCTCCTCCTCTCCTCCTCCTCCTCCGCCTCCTCCTCCTCCTCCCCCCTCCTCCCCCTCCCGCCTCCTCCTCCTCCTCCTCCTCCTCCTCCTCCTCCTCCTCCTCCTCCTCCTCCTCCTCCTCCTCCCCCCGCTCCTCGCCTCGAGCGGGGCCGCAGGCGGGGAGCTCGGGTAGCCGCCTGGCGCGGGCGCGGACGGGGGCAACTCCGCGGGGGAGGAGAAGAGAAGAGGCGACGAAGGGGCAGGGGGGAATAGGAGAATGTGATGCTGCTGATGATGCTGCCGCTGCCGATGCTGCCGCTGCTGATGATGCTGCTGCTGCTGATTATGCTGATGATGATGCTGCTGATAATTGGGATAATTAGTGATGATTGATGAATGTTGCTGCTGCTGCTGAAGATGATGATGCTGCTGCTGATGATTCTGATGATGAGGACAGTGATGATGATGATGCTGGTGATGATGATGGTGACGATGCTGCTGCTGCTGCTTCTGATGATGGTTATCATGATGTAAGATATGATGATGACAATGGTGCTGATGATGCCCGGTGGCAATGAAACCGGATGACAATCGATGAGTTCCGTCGTAAAGAAGCTATCCTCTCCAGCCAGCAAAACCAATGCCTCGATAAGGGTGATAACGAGATATCAAGATGCCAAGCAAGCGACCCCTGGAGGCCCGCGAAAATCGTCGGGAACCCGCGCACGGGAGGCTACAGCAAACAGAACGGGCGGCGGCGGTCCTGGAACATCAAAACACATCGGCGGGGGCATTCGGTCCCACATATCCAGGTTGTCAGGGATATGTAAAGAGCTCACGTGGATTCAAGGGCCTACCACGAGAGGTAAACAGCACATGCCCGGCGCAGTTACAGAAGACCTGATGGTGATGCGGATGGTGACGATGGCGATGATGCTGCTGATGGTGATGGTCTGATGATGACGATGATGTGATGATGGTGATGACGACGAAAGCAAACTGCGACCATGGCGCTGGGGTGGCGGGCCTGTTCCTTGCGCCAGAATGCTTCGTCGAATCTCCCGAATCAAATGCCGTCGGGCAATCGGGGGCCTGCTTAACTTAGGACCGCCAGGGGAGTTGAACGCGCGCCGTGCCGGCGCAAGCGAAAACTCCAGTCCAGGCCCACGGCTGCTGGCCGCAAGGAGGGTGCATCGAAACCATGCTGAAGGGAAGGCAACTTGAACATAGGAAGCCATGGTACGGAACACGCCTGCCCGAACGGCCATGGTGACAAGCACCACGCGTGTGGAGGACATTCTTCTTTGCGGCCAAGTGCCTTACCGACTCTTCGACATTCGGCAATCGCGGGCCAACTTAACCTAGGGATGCCATGGGAAGTACAAGCGCGCCGTGCTGGTGCACGCGAGATCTCCAGTCCAATGCCAGCATCTTCGCAGCGTGCACTGGCCGAACACTGCTGAAATTCTACATCAGCAGATTCGCGTTTATGAAGGGTCCCTGTGACACACAAATCAATAGACACAAATCCTACGTTCCCCAATAGTTTCCAATCTTTTCTCGTCTTCCCCACCACTTCGCATATCTTCCTGGGGATCGACGATGAATTGCGCCTGTGTTTTTTTTCCCTCTCCTGAGTGTAGGCTGGAGGCAGAAGAGCCAGCGAAGCGCACGGCTTAAGCCGGAAAGTGAGAAACTTGGCGCGACCCCGGGGGGGGGGGGACGTAACGACACAAGAGGAGGCGCCATGAAATCTGAGGAAGTATCGCACACCCCCTCTTGGCCGCCCCCGATTCCTCCCCCCTTCACTCCGCCTCCTCACCCTCGGAGGTCTCTGGGGTGGGTTCCTGGACGCCTCTGGAGGGCACTGGAGGCACCTGGAGGCGCCTATGGAGCCCAGACGTTTCCACACACCTCGAGCCTCCGTCCTCCTCTCTCCTCCTGTTCGACTCCGCCGACCTTCCGGCGTGTTTGAGACTCTGCCGTCGTCTTCGTCTTCGTCTTCGTCTTCGTCATCGTCGTCGCCAGTCCCAAGAAAAATGAGGAACGAACAGAGGGAGGGAAGGAACATCATAAATAGTTAAGTCGATCGCCTTCCCTGTTTCCCTTCCCAGACGAGACGGGGGGGGTAGAAAAGCTGGAAAAAAGGGGGGGGGACCCCGGGTCAGATTGCCGCCCCCTGGGGCTCCTGGCGGGTCCCGGGGAGTGGTCCCACCTGTGGGCCCAGACACCCGACGCCTCGATTTCTTCGAGACAAGGGCTCCCGACCTCCCGACCACTTCCCCGGGGCCGGTTCTTCATCCCGAGTCGTTTTCTGACGGTCCCGAGGCCCGGCGAGGGCCCCGAGGGGCCAAAGATTGCGAACAACTTCCGTCTCGAGCTTTTCGATACGCCCGATGTCTGGGGGCAGGGGGGACAGGCAGAAATTCCCTCTGTGCGGGGCTGGCCCCGCCCTGGTCCCGGCCTTGGCCCCTGCCCCGGTCCTGGCCTCCGCCCCGGCCACGGCCGTTTCTCCCCGGCCCCCGGGCCCCGGGAGGGGGCCCCAGGGCCCAGGGGGGAGGTCCCGCCTGCAGGGTCGGCGGCACCGGCCGAAGGCCTTCACACGCTTCTGTTTGTTGTCACGCTCCTCTTTTTTCCTCCTTCGTCGGGAAGAGGGGGGGGAGAGGGCGTCTCAGACTAGCACGCCAGGGGCAGCGTGGCTTTCCTTCGAGCACCCCGAGGAAACCCGAAGGTATGGGCCGTTTGCCCGGCACCAATTTGAGCTTTCTTCTTGTCTATGTAGACGCAGACAAGTCTACATGCATGGATGGCATTCCCCCCCCATGCTTGTCAGACGACGCTGGGACAAAAAACGCGCGCGAGTGAGTCCCGACGCGCGTGGGAGCCAGATTCCCTCGGGCCTCGCCACGCCCCCCCCTCCTCCAGGCAAGCAAAGTCGCCGGACTCTAGACAAAAGGCAAACAACATTTTTATCCCAAGCTTGTTTTATGGACGGCCCCAGGGCCGTGTTAAAAAACCCTCGCAGACGAGGAGGTCGGGTTCTTGAAGGGGCCCTGGGACACACAAATAAATACACACACACACACGCAAATAACAGGATTCTCCATCTTTTCCCATATTGTCTGGGTTTTTGTTTTCCCCCCACTTCCCATATTGTCCTATATTTTCTGGGGGATCGACGATTCATTGTGTCTGTGTATGTGTGTGTGTGTGTCTGTGTGTGTTTCCCTCCTGAAGGACTCTGGTGCCCCCCCGAACGCCCTCCGCGAGGCGCAGCTGCTCCAAAAGAGCGCGCCGAGGCTGGAGAAGCCTCCCTCCGCCTGCAGCAAGCGCCCCGAACACCCGGACCTCGCACGGATGCCGTCACGACTTCTTCGCACCGCGAGAGGGGGCGTGGGCCCCAGATATCGGGCGTATCGAAAAAATCGAGACGGAATTTTCTCGCAATTTTGGCGTCTCAAGGCCCTCGCCGGGCCTCGGGACCGTCAACAAACGACTCGTGATGAAAAACTG